ACCCCTTCCCTTTTCCATGCCCATCCCCTCCCTCTCTAGTATACACTGTATGTTATTAAATATATTTTGTATTATAATTGAAATACATCATTTTTTGATTCAATTTACTTGTGAATTTTATAATGAGGTCTGAATTTCTGACTTTAATAAATACAGTTCAAGTCATCTGACCTCTAACTCAGTGCTGATCAGAACTGCTTAGTGCTGATCAGCGCCGATCAGTGCTGAACCATCCTGTCTGATCAGAACTGATCAGAGCATGTGGGGGAGGGTAAAGTACTGCATGTTAGCTCAGCGATATTTCCTTTGATCTTCTTCAAGGATGGATCAACTGAGTCCTCAAGTTCTGCATCGACGATCTACACTCATTTAGTGAGTTGCATTTCTTTACAAGTTTTTTAGGGCATACCTTGCCACTCTGTATTTCATTTTGCTTCTTCAATACCTGATGTTTCTGCACTTGAATCCACACTAACTCTCACTCATGTGATTTCTTTTCCATAGCTATATCTCGAGCCATGGACTCATCTTTTGATCGCCTCACAGCAGCCTCCTCCTCTTTTTGTTCCTAGTAAGCTTTTGTATCAGTCTGTGTTCCAGGCATGAGTGGTGATGGAGGTGAAGATGGCCCAGGTAATGGAGGTCTTTACCCTCCTCCACATAATCCATATGGACTCCAGTGGACTCCAGTGGATTCCAGTGGATTCCAGTGGCCCTTTTACCAGGCCAGATTGGCTGGCAGAATGCCCAGTCCACTGGAGTCCAGTCCAGTCCAGTCCAGTCCAGTGGACTCCTGCTGGACTGCCAGCCACTTTCCTGAGTCCAGTCCCAGTCCAGTGGACTATGAGTCCAGTCAGAGTCCAGTGGAGTCCAGTGGAGTCCAGTGGATTCCAGTCATTCCAGTATATTATTATTATTATATATGAATACTACTAAAAAAGCGAAAATAGACTACACAATATACAAGCTATACTTACATTTTATTGATCAATAAATGGAAGGGTTATAATTTACATATAGTGTGGGTCAGTGATAGCTGCAATAAGGATTCATGATTTTGTTCAGTCTGTGGGGTGAGGTCATGTGACTTACTTAAGGGCGTACCATATCATCACGTCTTCTATTTGCAGCATGGTCACACTTCCGTGACCATCCCATTCCCTTCCACCACCACCACCACCACCCTTCACCACTCCCCTCCAATGCCGCCAACGCCAACACTGAGGTCTTATCAGTGCCCCCCTAATTCCTGCAGGAATCCGGTCATTCCTGCGGATTCCGGTGGATTCCGGAGGAATGAAATTTAGCAGGGAGGCCTGCTATTTTCATCATTCCGGTGCCTTACCATTCCGGTGGAATTTGGGCATTCCGGAATTGACACCGGAATGTTCCGCAGGAACGGAATGTGACGGATTCCGGTCAGTTGTTTGTTTATTTTACCTTTGTTACCAAACAAAGGCAACCTTACCAAACGAACGCAACACACTTTCCTTTCCTCCCACCACCAACCATCCTCTTCCCCGCCACCTCGATTCCCTCCCTCCAACCACGTTGACAACGGCAACATGACGACAACGCCACACCACCCATCAACGGCCACGACAACGCGAACACGCTAGGTGGACGACGAGGCGACGTGGCAACAAGGCGAGGAGGTGACGTGGCAACGGAATGACGTCGTTCATCACCCACATCTCACGACCCATGTAACGACTGAACACCCACGAAAACACCATGGCGCCCACAAAAACACCACAAACACCCATGAAAACACCATGGCGCCCACAAAAACACCACGGTGCCCACGAAAACCACACGCCGCCCAGTGCCCACACGCACCGCCAGCGCCCACGAAACGACGTCACAACGCAACACAATGCCCAGCGGACACGACGCCAATGAGGACGACAATACACGAGGACGACGACACGCGAAAACGACGACACAACGCGTCATCGATGCGCGCCAACGAGACCACTCCCTCCCCCTCCCCTGCTGCTCACCACTCCTTCCCTCTCCCTACTGCTCACCCATTACCCACCATCCCCTTCCCCCTCCCTTACTCCCCCTCCTTTCCTGCTCACCACTCCCTCCCTCTCCCTACCCCCTTCATTCCCTACCTCCTCCCTTCATTCCCCCTTCATTCCCTACCCCCTGCCTCCCCTCTTCCTCACTGCCCCTCCCTTCAATTCTTCCCCCTCCCTCTAGTTCTTCATTCCCCCCACTCCCCAGCACCTACCCCTCCACTCCTTCCCCCTCACTCCCTCCACTTTTCCCCTCTCCCTCTATCTAGATTCAATGTAAATAAATTACATCATGTAGTTTTAATAAATGAGTTTAAATGAATCTTTTTTCTTTAAGTATAAATGTCCTAAGGAATCCCAAGATTAAGTTGTCAGCAGAAGGCCTGAGTTAGATTCAGTCACAATGAGGATAACTAAATGACAGCAAAGGGAAGTATAAAGAAGTGTATACTAGTGTAATAGAAGTGTGCAGAAGTGTATATAGAAGTGTATATTAGTGTAAATTCACCAGATTCCAGTTCCATTCCTGAGGATTCCTGTGGATTTCTGACCCATTCCTGTGGATTCCTGTCCCATTCCTGCGGATTCCTGCGGATTCCTGAGGATTCCTGAGGATTCCTGAGGATTCCTGCAGGAATGGGTGGGGCACTATAAAGTACTGCCAACACCACCCATGCCAATGACACCCACGCCAATGCCAACAACGCTCATGGGAAGGACAGGCGAAGAACGAGAGACGGTGCCCATGACGTTGCCACATCATGGGCCAACGGTATGTATGCCCCACCACCCCAATGCCCCTTTCTCACCACGATAGGCGCCAGCGGCACGCGACAACAACGACGAGACATGAGGACAATGACAACACGCGAGGACAACGACGATGACTACACGCGGGGACAACGACACATGATGACATGCGACGACAGCACACAACGACATGCGACGACGACGACGACATGCGACAACTACACGTGGGGTCGACGACAACGACACCACAACACACAACAACAACAACAACACACGACAACAACAACGACGGCAAGCGAGCGCCCATGAAAACCCCATGCCCACCACACCCGAAAGATGACAAATGACGAGGGCCCACCACGGCCGACGCCAGCACGGAACAGTGACGAGGGCCCAGCAGCACCACCCTTCCCCTCCACTCTCGACGAGCTCAAATCCTTAAAGGAAATGGGAGTTTACACACTGGTTCTGTGATGTGAAGTCCCTCAAGGGACCAAAATTCAGAAAGGTCATCTGGTATTCAGGATCAAGCGGGACAAGACTGGAAAAGCTGTCAGATGGAAGGTGCGACTAGTTTTCAAAGGTTACAAACAAATTTTTGGCAAGGATTACTCCAAAACCACCTCACCGACAGCGTGCATGGAGTCATGGCGTATTTTATTACACTTAGCGGCAGCTCTTGACTGGGATGCACAACAGATTGACATAAAGATGGTGTTCCTGTATGGACTTCTACCCAACGGTGAGATTAAATATATGGAACAGCCTCGTGGATTCGAACAACCAGGAAAGGAGGAGCATGTTTGGAGAATAGAGTGGGGACTATATGGTATGAAACAGAGTGGCAGGATTTGGAATCAAACCATGAATGACCAGATGCTTTCCTGGGGTTTTACCTGCCTCTCATGTGAGTCCTGTATTTATTACAGGAACTCTGACAGTGGAACAATCATTTCTGCCATTCACGTTGACAATTTCTTGTCAATCACAAGCAATAAGGAGGAAAACGAGAAATTCAGTGACCAAATTCGGTCTGTCTGGACCATATCTGACTTAGGCGCTGTCCACTTCATCGTAGGTATCGCCGTTACATGGGACCACCCCAACCGAACTGTCATGCTATCTCAAACAGCACTTATTGACAAAATCGTCAACCAATTCGGTCAGAGAATCGCCTCACCAGCTTCAGTTCCAATGGACCCAGGCTTAAAACTTCGACGCACTGACTACAAGAAATTATCACGCGAAGAACTTGACCAAATTACGAAATTGCCGTACAGATCCCTAGTCGGTTGTCTCCTTTACTTATCAATTGGCACATGCCCGGACATAACGTACTCCGTCCAACAACTATCACAATACCTCGATTGCTACACCTATGCCTATTGGAACATGGCGCTAAGAGTTGTATGGTACCTCTCTGGAACATGTGAGCACAAACACCATCTTGGAGGCACTAATCCCATATCATTATTGGGTTTTACTGACTCTGACTGGGCTAACTGTCTAGATACCAGGCGAAGCGTTGGAGGGCACGCTTATACTCTTGGGTCAGGTGTTATTTCCTGGCAAGCCAGAAAACAAAAAACGGTAGCTGCATCTTCATGCGAAGCCGAATACGTTGCTGCAATCAAGGCCTGCAAGGAGGGGATCTGGTTATGCGCACTTCTCGACACAGTGGGCCATCAAACGAAAACTCCTACTACCATACTCTGTGATAACAACACCGCCATCAATCTGTCGGAGGACCCCCTTCTTCATGATCGCATTAAACATATCAACATAAAACACCATTTTCTTTGAGAACGCATCCAATCAAATGAGATCACCCTTTCCTACATTAATACCTATGACAACATTGCTGACATATTTACCAAAGCACTCGACACGAGAAAATTCACCCAATTCCACGAATTCCTGGGCATCAAATAATTCCATGACTCCATGCAAGGAGGAGTGTTCACGGTGAGGAGGAGTGTTGTGATTATCACAACACCATGAACATGTGAACACATGAACACAAAAGATCTTTTACTTTCTTTCTTTCTTTATGACCAGTCTCTTTATTCCATACAGTATATATATACCTACAGTACCTACTACACACCCCAGTCCATTATCACTTCAGTCACCCACTGACAACTGACTATTAGTCTTGCAAACTCCATGAATACTACGGGACTAAATGTCAGGGTGTATATCTATATTGTATATATTCTGGGCTTGTATATCTCCACTTTTACCTAAATATATTTTGTTGTCCAATGTCACACTAAATATATTTCTAGTGTGTCACACACCCCAAAATATATTTCCTATGGCTGGACCCTGAATTGTGACTGTCACAATGTAGAAATATATTTCTTGTCTGGGATGGACTTGGGATATATTTTGCAGCTAGGGTTGACTAAGGATATATTTTTTCAGCCACAAGGGGTGTCTGGGGTCCTATATTTAAGAGAAAACCTTGGGATTTTTTTAATATAGGGGATAGGGGATTTACCTATTATTTTGTAGGCAGAATACCCTCATTGAGATGTTTGTTGACAGATATTTACCAATGGGTCTGACCCATGTGTAGTATATGCATTGATGTGCGCACTATTTCCTAATTGGGCCATTTCCTAATTTGGAAAAGTGTTACACTTTTTTCTGCCACACCTGATGTCAGGCACAGTGTGCATTTGGGTGGGTAACTGTTTCCCATGCTTTTTGGGCCAGAAGAGTTAATGGCTAGCATGGTGTGGTCATTGTTAGTGATGATGTGTGCACTATTTCCTAATTGGGCCATTTCCTAATTAAGAAAGGCATTACACTTTTTTCTGACACACATGATGTCAAGCACAGTGCACAATTAGGTTGGGAACTGTTTCCCACGCTTTTTGGGCCAGAAGAGTTAATGGCTAGCAGGGTGTTGTCATTGTTAATGATGATGTTCGCATATTTCCCAATTGGGAAAGTCATTACATAATATCACTTTGGTTTGTAGTGTCTGCTTTTTTCATTACAACACCTTGTAGTGTCCGCTTTATTGATTAGAAAATTGTGTAGTGTCCACTTTTTTCATTACAACACATTGTAGTGTCTGCTTTATTCATTAGAAAATTGTGTAGTGTCCGCTTTATTCATTAGAAAATTGTGTAGTGTCCAATTTTTTCATTACAACACTTCATAGTGTCCGCTTTATTCATTAGAAAATTGTGTGGTGTCCGATTTTTTCATTAAAACACTTTTTAGTGTCCGCTTTTTCAATTTCAACACTTTGTAGTGTCCGCTTTTTTCATTAGAAAATTGTGTAGTGTCTGCTTTTTTAATTTCAACACTTTGTAGTGTCCGCTTTATTCATTAGAAAATTGTGTAGTGTCCGCTTTTTTTATTACAACATTTTGTAGTGTCCTCTTTATTCATTAGAAAATTGTGTAGTGTCCGCTTCTTTCATTAAAAAACTATGTAGTGTCCGCTTTATTCATTAGAAAATTGTGTAGTGTCCGAATTTTTCATTAAAACACTTTGTAGTGTCCGCTTTGTTCATGAGAAAATTGTGTAGTGTCTGCTGTTTTTCATTACAACATTTTGTAGTGTCCGCTTTTTTCATTAGAAAACAATTGTGTAGTGTCTGCTTTTTTCATTACAACACTTTGTAGTGTCCGCTTTTTTCATTATAACACTCTGTAGTGTCCGCTTTATTGATTAGAAAATTGTGTAGTGTCCGCTTTTTCTATTACAATTCTGTGTAGTATCCCCTTTTTTCATTAGAAAACTCTGCAGTATTCATTTTTTTCATCAGAAACCTTTGTGGTCTGCCTTTCTGATATATTGTCACTCCAGTAAACAGCTCTTCATCATCTGGAATTCATACACCAGTTGTGTTTTGACTGAGCATCAAGTGTCCTAACTTTCCCCTTGAACAGCATCTGACAGTAGCCCCAACAGCTGGCAAATCAATCACTGAGATGTTGTTGAAGGAGATCATGTTGAGGTTGGGTATGGTCAGACAAAGATGGACAGAGATGACCACCCAGGGAGAGGCAATGAATGTTGGACAACATGACTGAAGCTAGCCAAGGGAACAATTAGAACACTTGGTGGTCAGTCAACACACAATTTGTGTATGGATTCTAAATGATGAAGAGGTCTTTGGCTGGAGTCAGTTTCTCTGAAACATTAAGCTATATTTCTAGGAAGCTGCAGGATATCAGAAAGGCAAACAACAAAGTTTTGTAATGAAAGAATTGGACACTGCACTCATTTCTATTGAAAAAATCGGACACTACACAGTTTTCTAATGAATAAAGTGGACACTACACAGTGTTGTAATGAAAAAAGCGGACACTACAAAGTGTTGTAATGAAAAAAGCAGACACTACACAATTTTCTATGAAAAAGTCGGACACTACACAATTTTCTAATGAATAAAGCGGACACTACATAGTTTTTTAATGAAAGAAGCGGACACTACACAATTTTCTAATGAATAAAGAGGACACTACAAAATGTTGTAATGAAAAAAGCGGACACTACACAATTTTCTAATGAAAAAAGCGGACACTACACAGTTTTTTAATCAAAAAAGCGGACACTACAAAGTGTTGAAATTAAAAAAGCAGACACTACACAATTTTCTAATGAAAAAAGCGGACACTACAAAGTGTTGAAATTGAAAAAGCGGACACTAAAAAGTGTTTTAATGAAAAAATCGGACACTACACAATTTTCTAATCAATAAAGCGGACACTACGAAGTGTTGTAATGAAAAAATTGGACACTACACAATTTTCTAATCAATAAAGCGGACACTACACAATTTTCTAATCAATAAAGCAGACACTACAATGTGTTGTAATGAAAATAAAGCGGACACTAAAAAGTGTTGTAATGAAAAAATTGGACACTACACAATTTTCACTTCAGTCACCCATTTTAGGGTACCTATGAGGTATATGAATTCTTTGATTTAGGGGACCTCCATGGTACACATACCAATACCATGGTACCATGGTATGGAAAACCAATACCATACCAATACCATGTTACCATACCATACCATGTCACCTCATACCATACCATGCCATACCATACCATCATACCATACCATACCATACCATCATACCAGGGTGTCTGGGGTCCTTTTTCAAAATATATAAATTCTTTCTGCAGGCTGCAATACTGGTCCATTGGGTGCCATTTTTTGTGGAAAGCTTCTTGATGTTTTTCCCAAGATTTTAAGATACAAATGGAGGCTATATAGTCAAATCCATCCTTTGAAAATCAGTTCAAATGAGCTTAATCCCAGCTTTTTCCATGCATCAAAAGCCATTTATTGATACATATCTTTCCCAGTCCTTTCAATTACAATTAGAACAATATTCATCACAAATAAATCAATGCTGCATCAGTATTTGAGAAGCAAAGAAAAGAAAACATTTTGTGTATTGGCTATAGTCCTGGACCATGCATGATACCATGCATTGCAAAAGCATGGACTTGAGCTAAATTATTATCCAACAGCCTAGGCTGAAATATGCACTTCAACTAATCAACTACATTAAGTACCCTTCACAGATGATTCATTTCAAAAGCCTGAAATTTGGATTCAAAAAGTGCCATGCTGTTGCTGTCAAAGAAGTATGTGTATATATTTACTATTTGAAAACTACATATGATGGAATCAAAGTATTGTTGTTCTGAGTGTTTGACCAAAGTTGTCATTATCAAAATATTTGGTCCAATCCAAAGTCTTGTCAATTGGAGAGCCAGGGGTACAGATTAAGGAAGCTCCTGTTGGCCATGGCCTCCCAAAACCATGATACTATGTTCAGCCTTATTCATATCACATGTGGTATGATAATATCATACCACAACCATTCATACCATACCCCAACTATTCATACCAAACTATGGTATTGCCATCTCATACCATACCATGGTATTGCCCCCTCACCATACCATGGTATTGCCCCCTCACCATACCATACTATGGTATTGCACCCCCATACCATACCATGGTATTGCCCCCTCACCATACCATACTATGGTATTGCACCCCCATACCATACCATGGTATTGCCATCTCATACCATACCATGGTATTGCACCCTCACCATCCCATACCATGGTATTGCCATCTCATACCATACCATGGTATTGCACCCTCACCATACCATACCATGGTATTGCACCCTCACCATACCACACCATGGTATTGCCATCTCATACCATACCATGGTATTGACCCTCACCATACCACACCATGGTATTGCCATCTCATACCATACCATGGTATTGCACCCTCACCATACCACACCATGGTATTGCCATCTCATACCATACCATGGTATTGCACCCCCATACCATACCATACCATGGTACTCCACTCCCATACCATACCATGTTGTTTGATGTTTAAGGTGCTGTTCTCAGGATCCAGTGTGAATTTCTAAATATGGAAGGTGTGGCTATGCTAAATGAAAAAGAAATTAATGGGATAGATGCTTAAAATATCACAGGAACCATAATCTATGCAGAGGAAGGCAGAAAACCCCCATTTCGAAGTTTGTTTACATATATTTACCAATAGCTTTAACCAAAGTAAGGCTACAAAAATTGTAGTGTCCGCTTTTTTCATTAGAAAAGAGAAGTATGATTAGAAAACTTTGTAGTGTGCGCTTTGATGTGCGCACTATTTCCTAATTGGGCCATTTCCTAATTGGGAAAAGCGTTACACTTTTTTCTGCCACACCTGATGTCAGGCACAGTGCGCATTTAGGTCGGGAACTGTTTCCCACGCTTTTTGGGCCAGAAGAGTTAGTGGCTAACTTAGTAGGGGAGCTCAGAGTAAAAATAAGTGACGCTTATAGATCCTGTTTGTTGCTGGTCGATTGTAACGAGCGTGATTTCCATATACAGTAATCATAATAATAATAATAATAATAATAAATCCCACTGCTATTCTCAACATTAGCCATGGCTCATAAAACATACCACTCTCAGGTTATGCGGACATATCTCACCCATATGGTTTTACGTGACATACTCCTACCCCCTGATGACGACATTGAACAGCCTTGCGAGAACCTCCAGTTTGATCTCACAGTTCTAGAAGCAATCCGAGCTACAAGATACCTACGTGGACGACCTGAAGTTGCAAAGTGTGGCAACCTACATCTGGCTTGGGAGTATGCACAGGACCCCCATGATCACCAGCGCTTCATAAACATGCTCCGGGTATCCCCCCATGTGTTTGATTTCATTTTAACCTTGATTAAGGACCACCCCGTCTTCTTCAACAATTCAAATGTTCCGCAAACCCCTGTCGATGTCCAGCTGGCCGTCACTCTATACCGTATGGGCCGTTTTGGAAATGGAGCCAGCCTGGAAGATATTGCTCGGACAGCTGGGTGCTCAGAAGGTTCAGTGGAGGAATTCACAGACCGCTGTTTTGAGGCAATCGAGTCCCTTCATGACATGTTTGTTCAGCCCTTAACAGAGGAGGAGAAGCAGAAGGAGAAAGAGTGGATGGACCAGCAGCTGGGTTTCAAGGGCTTGTGGAGGGAAGGGTATCTCATGTACAATGGAACCATCGTTGTTGTCTATGCAAAACCAGGTTTGAATGGTGATGCATACTACACCTGCAAGGCTAACTATGGTTTAAATGCCCAAGTAAGTCATTAAAACTGTTTCCTCTCTTCGACTTACTGATCTAAAAACTTTAGATCGGAAATGCACCTTCAAACCTACGCATCGTCGATTACTCACATGGATTCACAGGATCTGCTCACGATGCTGCAGCATTTGAGCACACCTGTGCTTACAAGCATCCGGAATTCCTTTTTCAAGGAGAAGAGTTTGCATGGGCTGACTCTGCTTACACTCTTACTCCACATATGATCCCTGTCCATCGTCAACCAGCCTCCTTCCTTCCTGAAAACGCCCTTTTTGACCGTATAGTATCTCAACTTCGAGTACGATCAGAACATTGCATGGGGGCTTTGAAGGGAAGGTTCCAGTGTTTGCGTGGCCTCCGTGTCAACATTACATCCAATGAAGATCACAAGGCAGCTTGTCGGTGGATCACCATAGCCATCATTCTCCACAACCTCATCATTGATGTTGAGGGTTATGCATCAGGTGTAGCATTTGCACCCCTACATACCAGAGCAGAAGAAAGATAGGATCGTGGAGACCCTGCACTAGCCTTTGATGGAGATTTGACAGAGGCAGGAGAATTGAAAAGGCAGAGATTGACAGCTGAGCTATTAGCATACTATCAAGAGTAGATATTACATGGATATAAAATAATGTAAACGAGGGTTATAAATTGGGTATATAGGACAGATACCTGAGTAGTTAATGAATAGAGGTGACAATGCAAGAAAAGAAGAGTGACACAGGTGGGTAACACAGGACGTGGTGAAGAAGGTAACACAGTGAATGTAAGAGGGTGACGCAGAGGTGCTTTCGTAGAAAGGGTAATAGTCCTAATCATTGAGCTCGAAGCCGTCATTCTCAATGTCCCAGCGAGGCGAGGGGGATCGGGGACAGACCCTCTTTGGTGCTGGCTGGGAACCATCAAGGTCACGTAGCAGGTTTAAAAGCTCCTCCTTAGAGTATACCCCAAGGGTGTGGAGCTTGATACACTGCTCGAGTTCCTCAAGCCTCAGACGGCGCTCGTTTTGCTGATTCAGAACAGCTGCCCGATTATTTGCAGCCTCCATATTTTGCCTGAACCATGGTGAGCAATAGAGAATAGCAATCAAAATGAATACGAACTGCGAGATCTCACACAGAGTTTCTTCAAAGCTCCGTTTTTGGGGAATCTTCTTGATCGAGCTCTTCGCGGTCTCAACTATAGAAGCCAGGACAAATGACGATTCCTTTGGGCCCTTCTTTCCTGTCACAGGAGCAGTATTCTCTTTCCCTCCTGGGGTGGACTGAGGTGGTGGTCGAGCTGGAGTCATGGGAGGGGCACTGGGGGTCACGGCTGGTGTTGGGGCCTCAGGAATAGCACGATTGTCGACGGAAATGTCGCCTAAGGGTAATCGTTGGTGGGTGGCATCAGTGACGTCTGGCTGAGGTGCACCAGCTTGAGTTGTCACTGTGGAACGAAGCTGAGGGTCGATGTTGTCTTCATTCCCACCCGCACCGAAGTTTCCGCAGGGAGCTTGATAATGCGTGACTTTGCGTCCCTCGGGACCCACGCCAGTCGTTACAATGGGAGGGATCGCATTCGGACGAGTCGACAAGTAGCGATGCATGGCAGCGAAGTAAGGAAATGCCTTGTTGATGTCATCTATGATGCTACGCACCCCAGACATTCAATGCTTCCTGAGTTGTCGTTATGTCCGGCCCCGTGTTCGGAATGTAACAAGTGAGGTATTCGTTCACGTCATCCGGATCGTCTGGGCTATCGTCGTTACCACCCAGCCCGCCTCCAGTCTGCTGAAGCCTCTTGATCTCCTTTTTGTACCGTGCGTACAAGCTTAATAGGTGGGGCATCAGCTAGCGCATGGTATATAAATTATATTTGCGACGTACTCTTCAGCCTTGTTCTTCATGCGGTTTCCGATTGCATCCGGATCGAGCGCATACCATTCTGGAAGGATGGCCTCGCTGATGCGCTTGTACACCTTGATCTTGCTGTCTTCAAGCACTTTCTACAAGATGAGGAGAATCAGTCCTCATTTAAGCTATGGAGGCCTACCAGATACACACCTTAGAGCCATAAAGCACGCTGCAGTTCTGTTTCTTCTCAATCTCATTGAGGAGCTTCCAGATAAGGGCGTTGTTATTTCCAATCCAGTCAATGGTTGGAATCACAGGCTTCGGAGCCTTGGCGGCCTTGCCTTTAGCACCCCGAGCCATAGCCTAAGACACAAAGAAACGTATATACCACCCTTGGAATGGGTACCATGGAGGTCCCCTAAATCAAAGAATTCATATACCTCATAGGTACCCTAAAATGGGTGACTGAAGTGCAATTTTCTAATGAATAAAGCGGACACTACACAATTTTCTAATGAATAAAGCAGACACTACAATGTGTTGTAATGAAAAAAGTGGACACTACACAATTTTCTAATCAATAAAGCGGACACTACAAGGTGTTGTAATGAAAAAAGCAGACACTACAAACCAAAGTGATATTATGTAATGACTTTCCCAATTGGGAAATATGCGAACATCATCATTAACAATGACAACACCCTGCTAGCCATTAACTCTTCTGGCCCAAAAAGCGTGGGAAACAGTTCCCAACCTAATTGTGCACTGTGCTTGACATCATGTGTGTCAGAAAAAAGTGTAATGCCTTTCTTAATTAGGAAATGGCCCAATTAGGAAATAGTGCACACATCATCACTAACAATGACCACACCATGCTAGCCATTAACTCTTCTGGCCCAAAAAGCATGGGAAACAGTTACCCACCCAAATGCACACTGTGCCTGACATCAGGTGTGGCAGAAAAAAGTGTAACACTTTTCCAAATTAGGAAATGGCCCAATTAGGAAATAGTGCGCACATCAATGCATATACTACACATGGGTCAGACCCATTGGTAAATATCTGTCAACAAACATCTCAATGAGGGTATTCTGCCTACAAAATAATAGGTAAATCCCCTATCCCCTATATTAAAAAAATCCCAAGGTTTTCTCTTAAATATAGGACCCCAGACACCCCTTGTGGCTGAAAAAATATATCCTTAGTCAACCCTAGCTGCAAAATATATCCCAAGTCCATCCCAGACAAGAAATATATTTCTACATTGTGACAGTCACAATTCAGGGTCCAGCCATAGGAAATATATTTTGGGGTGTGTGACACACTAGAAATATATTTAGTGTGACATTGGACAACAAAATATATTTAGGTAAAAGTGGAGATATACAAGCCCAGAATATATACAATATAGATATACACCCTGACATTTAGTCCCGTAGTATTCATGGAGTTTGCAAGACTAATAGTCAGTTGTCAGTGGGTGACTGAAGTGTCCTTGTAGACTCCTTCCGGACATGGTTGTCCAAACATGTTAACATCCAACACACAACCTGGTGGGGCCTTAGGAGATCTTAGGAATAGTATCTGCCAACGTCGTTCTCGGTCAAACATGGAGTGTGTTCCATAGTCAATGACCTTTTTCAGGGAGACTTCATAGAATGTATTCTCAATTGTATTGCTCCACAAATTTCTGACATGTTTTCCATAGATGAGGAGGGTGCCAGGGAGAGACTGTTCAGCTTTCTGTACAAGAGGGGGTTTAATCCAAGGTATCCTGTCAGTGTCAATGACCACCATGGTCAAGGGAGGTGGTTTGTAGTCGACTACCTCCTTCGGCTGTTCCTGATCATCATCGTTTGGCAAGATGACAGGCCAGATCCAACTGGGATCGAAAGATCGAGCAGTGTCCATTAGTATCAGATCCCCTCTGGCTATGGCATGAGAATCGTACTCATTCATGTTCTAGTGTATCGACGATGAGCTTGTTCCTGCAGTGAAGTCGATCAATGTTTCTGGAGCAGCGAGTTTAGCACACTCACTAGAACTGACCTCCCTGGACATGAAACATGGTATTCCCTCCTTCAAGTACCATCTGGCTTGACGTTCTTCCATTCCATTCAGCCAAACACTGACATAACGATTGTCAGCCATCGTGACGTTCATGTCTGAGTCTGGCATCCAAAATTTTGACTGTTAAAGTCATGACACATAATCAATAAATGCTCATTTATCTTTGATGCTGCATTGGGCTTCTGTGGTGAAGTCAAGGAATAAAGAGAATCTTTTATGGCGTCATAGAGAGTCGATGTATTTGGAGGATGGCACAGAGGGACGAATTTCAGGTTTCCACAAGGCAGTGTGGACTGGGTCAAAGAAGTGATAGTCTATATGGGTGTTATGTAGGGTCTTCATCTATAGTTCGACCTCTTGATTCGCTTGGATCAAGTGATTGATGTAGCTATGGTTTACACTTCCAGAGTCAAAGGCTGGAGCATTGTTGCTTTTCCAGCAATTGAGTAACAATTCGTATTCTGGGCAATCATGTGGATGTCCCGCAGTGGGTGAGACTATCAGAGCTCTCCATTCTTTACCAGAAGAGCACAGTTGAGCATTCATTGTGGGATCAAATGGTCCCATATGCTGACTGGTGGCTACCACTTTTATCATATAAATAAGGTAACTGCCTAGAGGTCATTGTGTATAAGTCCACAGTCTTTATGATAGGGAATCATTCCAGTTGCCATGTCTTTTCATTATCATAAAGCCTGCGCTTTTTTTCATTAATTGTAGGCAAGGCCTTAGACCTCCATCTCATTATGTACCTGGTCAATATCATTGCGATTTTCATTAGCCATTTGGGCAATATCATTGGAAATTTCATTAACTACTTGACTGATATCATTGCGATTTTCATTAGCTATTTGGAAATTTCATTAGCCACTTGGGCAATATCATTGTGAATTTCATTAGGCACCTGGGCAATATCATTGCAATTTTCATTAGCTTAGTTGAGCAATATCATTGGAAATTTCATTAGCTACTTGACTGATATCATTGCGATTTTCATTAACTATTTGGGAATTATCATTGGAAATTTCATTGGCCACCTTGGCAATATCATTGCGATTTTCATTACCCTCTTGGGCAATATCATTGGGAATTTCATTAGGCACCTGGGCAATATCATTGTGATTTTCATTAGCTATTTGGGAATTATCATTAGAAATTTCATTAGCCTCTTGGGTAATATCATTGGAAATTTCATTAGGCATGTGGGCAATATCATTGCGATTTTCATTAGCTAACTGGGCAATATCATTGCAATTTTCATTAGCTATTTGGGAATTATCACTGGAAATTTCATTAGCCTCTTGGGCAATATCATTGGGAATCTCATTATGCACCTGGGGAATATCATTGCAATTTTCATTATCTAACTGGGCAATATCATTGCAATATTCATTAGCTATTTGGGAATTATCATTGGAAATTTCATTAGCCTCTTGGGCAATATCATTGGAAATTTCATTATGCATTAGGGCAATATCATTGCGATTTTCATTAGCTAACTGGGCAATATCATTGCAATTTTCATTAGCTATTTGGGAATTATCATTGGAAATTTCATTAGCCTCTTGGGCAATATCATTGTGATTTTCATTAGCCACTTGGGCAATATCATTGGAAATTTCATTAGGCACCTGGGCAATATCATTGCGATATTCATTAGCTATTTGGGAATTATCATTGGAAATTTCATTAGCCTCTTGGGCAATATGGTTGAAGGACTGAAAGGCTATTCTATCCTCTCATACTGTCCTATCTCCAAGCATAGTCAACTTCTTTGAGGGCTACAGTACTCTATAGATCATGGTCTGATTTAACCCTTCCACCATATGCCCATGAAGATATACATGCATAGTCAAGGACATTCAAACTACATGTCAACCAGACCACAAATCAACCATATGGTCTGATTGGTCCTCAGAAGTGTCATGACATTCAATCGCAATGTTAGGTTATGATGCAAAAGGTCACCTAAGTCAAGTTGTCTTTTTCATCAATCCTAAATGAAGATTGACAAAGAGACATGACCCTACTGCCCTTTATCATTCATTTACTATTGGTAGTAGCCTAGCATCAATCAGCTAAACAAGTGGACTACAAACTTTTCTAGTTCAAAAAGCGGACACTACAAACTTTGTAGTCTTAAAAAGCAGACACTAGTAACTTTTGTAGTCCTAAAAAGCAAACACTACAGACTTTTGTAATAAAAAAAGTGGACACTACAAAATTTTGTAGTCCAAAAAAGTGGACACTACAAACTTAGAAGTCTCAAAAAGTGGACAATACTAACTTTTGCAGTTTTAAAAAGAGGACATTACAGACTGTTGCAATGACAAAAGCAGACACTGCAAACTTTTGTAGTCCAAAAAAGCGGACACTACAGATTTTTGTAATGAAAAAAGTGGACACTGCAAACTTTTGTAGTCACTTTTGGAATGAAAAAAGTGGATTGTCAATAACAGTAATCAAGGATATCAGTAACCTTTGTAGTCTATGTCCAACTTTTTGTAGTCTATTAGTAAACTTTGTAGTTCAAGTCCAACTAGTCTTTTGTTGTCTATTTGGTCTACTAGTACACTTTGTAGTCCATAACTGACTTTTGTAGTCTACCTGCAATCTTTTGTAATATGTCAGTGTCAATTTACCTGTTAGGGTATGCACCTTCCATTTTTGGTCATTTTTCCCATGATACAAAAATTGTAGCCCTTTCTCTTAGCTTTCTAAATGTGTTAAAATTATTTTGTTTGGTGTTGTTCTCATGGAGAAAAATGCAAAAAGGTTGAAAAAAGCCAGTGATGAGGAAAAGACTTTATGTTATATCTCCACAATGGGAGCACTTTAGAACATAATTCCAACAGATTCAGGAAGCTATAGTGCAGGGCTACAATTTTCGCTTTTTGACCATTTTTGGAAATAGGTCATGTGACCACCCTCCTGATGACCAAAAATCACAATGATATAGCCCAAGCAGCTAATGAAATCCCCAAAGATATTGCTCAAGTAGCTAATGAAAATCGCAATGATATTGCCAAGGTGGCAAATGAAATTTCCAAAGAAATTGCCCAAGTAGCCCATGAAAACCGCAATAATATTGCCCAACTAGGCTAATGAAAATCATAATGATATTGCCCAGGTGCCTAATGAAATTTCCAATGATATTGCCCAAGTGGCTAATGAAAATCACAATGATATTGCCCAGGTGTGTAATGAGATTCCCAAGATTAACAAGGGCATAGTCCCCTTCCTTCAGTTCTTGGATCAGTCGATGCTTCTTGTCATATGCCTTAGCTTGACAGTCCTGTGCTAAAGCTATAGCATCTTTAGCAGCAGTTCGGTGAACTTCAAGAGTCTCCACGAAGTCCTCAGTACATTGACTGGGCAGGAAAGGTCGTAGTGAGGGGTCAACTTCCTGGATTATGGCTCCAGCTGAGGTTCTGGGATTATAACCCATTAATAAGAAACTGGGAGAGTACTTTGTAGATGAATGCACGCTGCTGTTGTATGAGTAGGCTAGGACACTCAGCCAACTTGACCAGTTTTCTCTGTCCAAGGAAACATAGGTGTGGAGCATTTGTTCTATCGTAGCATTGAGAATTTCAGTTTGTCTGTCCATCTGTGGGTGATGGGTGGAGGACAGGGCCATCACACTTCCATAATTTGTGACCACCAATTTCCAAAATATTGTTGCCCAATGTCTGTCTCTGTCTGAAATAATGACTCCTGGTAAGCTGTAGACGTTAACCACTTGGTCTACAAATAACTTGGTGAATCCCTCTTGCGTTAATGTGGAGTGAGTGGGTATGATGATGGCATACTTGGTGAGTTTGTCCACTATAGCTAGTATAGCTGTATATCCTTGTTCTCCAGATGTGGGTAATCCAGTGATCATATCCATTGAAACTTTGAAGAAGGGTTGGTTTGGTATGTGCGCAGGTCATAGAGCACCTATCTTAGCATGATGGTCAACCTTGATCTTCTGACAAACATCACAAAAGGTGGCATATGCTTCAGCATCCTTGCTCATGGTGGGCCAGAAGAAAAGCTCCTGTAGTCGCGGTAGCAAGCAGCAAGGTCCAGCATGTGCACTTTCATATGGGGATTCATGTATCCATCATAGAACATAGTTGACCTTTAGTTTGGGAACGCACAGGTGCATTGTAGAGTCAGCATCTATGAAATACAACAGGTCATCTTGCCCCCTTTGGAAGTGAGTCACTAAGATTACAGTTTTGTCATTCAGTTGTACTTTGATGTAACAAGGGGCAAAGAACTTGTCCACTTCGTAACCTTCTGCAAATTCCTTACAAATGTTAGGATCCATGGATACCAACAAGTGCATCCGTTTGGATCAATCCTCCTCTGGAGTTAACTCAGATGGTTTGACTCCTGCTGGGTAAGTCCAATGGTCCACTGTAGCGAAAGGCAGCACTATATTGCCTTATTCTGGGGTTCCTTCAAATGTTTTGGGAGTCTCAGTAATGACCTCCTGAATTAATTCATTTGGCTCTTCATGCATTCTATCCACTGCGAGTTGTCGTTTAGTTCGGATGGGAATCACAGTTTTCTCTATTATATCTTCCCACATCATTACGCAAAGGCTGCTTTAGGGGCTGCAGCCTTAAGGATTCTATCCTCGGCTTTTTGCATGATATGCTTTTTCACAGCATCCTGTTCTATGGAGATGAGGTCGTTGTTTAAGGGTGAATTATGAGGCGGAATTCTTATGAGCCAAGATAGGGGGTCCACATTAGAATGGATTCGCCCAGCTCGGTGGACAATCTTCAACCCAGGCACTAGTGGCTACCACTTTTTATCATATAACCTAGACTTAAGCCTACAGACGACAATCTATAACACTGAGATTTTTATGAAAGGCATTTCAATACATGAGCCTAAGCCTTTCAATCATCAAATTGCCTGGGATTTCTGATAAAATATGAGAAATTCTCTATGGGCATTTCATAAGTCTGTCAAGCCATCTCAATGGTGGTTTTTCAATAGATACCTTGTACCTTTCATTGATACCTTAGAATATTTCATTGCGATTTTTCAAATGTATCCCTGGGCATTTTATTGTGATTTTCTAAATGTATCCCTTGATATTTCACTGTTATTTTTCAAATGTATCCCTGGGCATTTCATTGCTATTTTTCAAATCTATCCTTGGGCATTTCATTGCAGTTTTTTAAATGTATCCCTTGATATTTCATTGTTATTTTTCAAATGTATTCCTGGATATTTCATTGTGATTTTTCAAATCTATCTTTGGATATTTTATTGTGATTTTTCAAATGTAACCCTGGATATGTCATTGTGATTTTTCAAATGTAGCTCTGGGTATTTCACTGTTCTAAAAATAGCCAGGAAATGAGAGCTAAAGATAGGAATGGTGTATAGGATGTCAGGTACTGCTTTGAGGGTCTACAGTATATATATATAAGAGGAAATATGATTGGATATGACCAAAAAGTGGAGAAATCAGATAAGAATGACAATACAACTAGGGGTCCATGCAATGGGTCTCTGGTGGAGTGGTCACATGACCAATTTCCTAAAATGGTCAAAATCCAAATGAACATTGCATGATGTCTGTAGAAGCTACTTCCCAGAGTTTTTCTGGAAGTAAACAAGTATCTACAACATTGGTCCTTCTTTTCTGGAAGAAGAAAAAATGCTATGCCAAGAAAATAAACAAAAGTTCTATTTATACAAGGATCTGAGACCCCACACATTTCTTGCTCTATGCAAAATGTACTTTTATTGAGGACTTATCAAGTTATATCCAGTGGAAATTAATTTTATATTATGCTATACTT